GCACGGTTGCATCAACAAATGCGTTTTTATATCAGTTTTGCATTTGTTAACACTATCGGGTAGGTTTAGGGTTGGTTTCCAACACGATAGAGCATTACATTTTAGCGACAGTCCCCGGATATTTGAATTCTGAACCGCCGCAATACGCACCTGAAGCAACGTAATAAAAACACAGCAATACGTACCTATATTAACGTAATACAAACGTGCCAGGGTTCACGTATTGAACCTGTGTTTTAGCGCCACTCAGTGGACATTTCTCTTTGAAACTGCGGCGAAACGTGCAGTAAGGTACGTAAAAACGGTGTTGCAGAAAAGTACCCAGAGGTACGTATTTTTATGAGACTGGGTTGATTTAAAAGAATAAAGCAGTGGTTCCCAAACTGGGGGGCACGGCAAGGCTGAAGGATAATTAGGGCCCGGTGAAATCCGTTTTATTTTTTTCCAAATTCCGTTTTTTCCATTTTAATTTTTCTCGACTCCTTTTTAATAGTTAAATTAAATTTTATTAATTAAAAAGCATGTCTAATTAATTAAAATCATTAAACTTATACATTTTCACATCAATTTATTCAAAGTTTAACAAAAATTACATGTTTAGGGCCCTATGAAATGTTTTATTTATTGTTACCAAATTCTGTGTTTTAGCATGTCTAATTATTTGAATGCATAAAACAACTTAATGTATTAATTTTTTTCCTTAAAGTAGCCTTATGAATTTTTTTTTCCCCTCAGAAATTCTGTGTTGTGTATTTAAATTTTTTCTGGTTATCAAATGAAGGCATAAGATATTAATTTAATTTATCATTTATCTTTTAATTATTGAAAATTAAGCAAACAAGATTTTTTTTTGGCAAACAAAGGGGATTTACTATTAAAATTAAAACATGGAAGAAATGTTTTGTGTGATTATTCCTAAAAAATAATGTTTGTTTTATTTTAATAGTAGTAGTAGTAGGCTATGTACATTCTACTGAAAAATAGTTATAGGCACAATGTCTTCAAATCAAACCGGACTTTTATTTTGACGGGCTGCCCGTGAATACCTTTACAGTTCTGTGTATGTGATATGACGCTAGTTTTACTCAAATCAAACGGTCAAATGCTCATGAAGTGACTCTCAGAGCAGTTCTGGAGATGTTGTTCATGTGTTTACGTCCTCATTTAGTGAGACAGCAGACGCTGAAATCACCGCGAGCGTCAGGCGCGCTTCAGTGTGTGTGTAGTAAATGAAACCGCGCGTCAGTACCGAATGAGCTCAAACGCAAATTTAAAGCTCAATAGCATTTGAGGAGAATGACTTATGGTCATAAAAGCAACTGTAAAGTGTTCATCTAGGTGTCAACTATAATGCACACCTTTTACATTTTTTATATTTATTTAAAAAAAAAACAGTAAATCATGTCAAAAATTCTACTTTTCACTACCGAATGGGCTCAAACGCAAATTTAAAGCTCAATAGCATTTGAGGAGAATGACTTAGTAAAAACATGTACATTACATTACATTTAAATTTAGTAATTTAAGCAGATGCTTTTATCCAAAGCTACTTGCAAATGAGAACAATTGGAAGCAATCAAAATCAACAAAAAGCAAATGATATGCAAGTGCTATAACAAGTCTCAGCTTAATGCAGTACACGTAGCAAGTTTTTCTTTAAATCATATAATAAATAAAATTTAGATAGATTTAAATGTAAAATATATAGAATACAAAAGATTAGAGAAGCAAGTGTTAGTATGTTTTTTAAGAAAACAAGCAGGTAGTAAATAAATAGAGTGCAAGTTTAAAAGGGGCAAGTTTTTATTTTTATTTTTATAAAGAATAGAATTAGAATAGAGAGTGCTAAAGTTAGAGGGTCAAATAAAGATGGAATTTATGTTTTTTTAGCCGATTCTTGAAGATCGCTAAGGACTCAGCTGCTGGGATTGAGTTGGGCAGGTCATTCCACCAGGATGGAACAGTTAATGTAAAAGTCTGTGAAAGTGATTTTGTGCTTCTTTGGTATGGCACAATAAAGCGACGTTCACTTGCAGAATGCAAGCTTCTAGAGGGCACATAACTCTGAAGTAATGAATTTAGGTAAAGGGGTGCAGAGCCAGTGGTGGTTTTGTAGGCAAACATTAATGCCTTGAATTTTATGCGAGCAGCTACTGGTAGCCAGTGCAAATTGATGAACAGAGGTGTGACGTGCATTCTTTTCGGCTCGTTAAAAATTAATCTTGCTGCAGAGTTCTGGATTAATTGTAAAAGTTTGATAGAACTGGCTGGAAGACCTGCCAAGAAAGCATTGCAATAGTCCAGCCTGGACAGAACAAGAGCTTGAACAAGGAGTTGTGTGCAGAGACTTGGTTGAACACAGCTCATTCAAGTGTTTTTTGCAATGAAAGGTAGAAGGGAAACTGGTCTGTAGTTCTCTAAAAGAGTTGGGTTAAGAGTGGGTTTCTTAAGAAGTGGGGTTATACGAGCATGTTTAAATGTTGAGGGAAAAACACCAGTGTGAAGGGATGTGTTAATGATGTGAGTGAGTGCAGGTACAACTGCAGGAGAAATGGCTTGAAGGAGATGAAATGGAATAGGATCAAGTGGACAAGTAGTAGGATGATTAGAAAGGATGAGTTTGGAGACTTCTGCCTCAGAGAGTGGAGAGAAGGATGCGAGCGGGTGCATGTTTCCTGGTAAGATGTGCTTGACAGATTGTGGTGTGGAAAATTGTGCACTGATGGTTCGAATTTTATTAATGAAGAACGTGGCAAAGTTTTCAGCTGTTAGAGTTGATGAAAAAGGGGGAGGAGGAGGACAAAGGAGGGAGAAATTTTTTTTAAAACAACTGTAAACTGTTCATCTAGGTGTCAACTATAATGCACACTTTTTACATTTTTGATATTTATTAAACTAAACTTTTCACTACCGAATGGGCTCAAATGCAAAATATGCCATAATTTAAGGCTCAATAGCATTTGAGCAGAATGACTTGCAGTCATAAAAACAACTGTAAACTGTTCATCTAGGTTTCAATTATAATGCACACCTTTTAAATTTTTGATTGAATTTATTAAAGTCTACTGTAAATCATATGTAAAAAAAAAATTCTACTTTTGGGGGTGGTCTTGGGAAAATATGAATATATTATTGAAAAGATAATAATTGAACAATAAAAATTTTGAAGCATCACAGTTGTCATTGTTGTTTTTTCAATGTTGTTTAATGTAACTTCTGAAATACATTAATTTGACAATTTCTACACATATGAATGAATGAATGAGGCACAATGTAGTTTTACAGTAACAAAAAAGTGAACCAAATCAAGTACAGTAAATTTTAGTATAACAGTAAATATTCTAATATTTTACAATGCATTACTGAATAAAAGACAAAAAAACGAATACAATAATAAAATATTTTACAGTTAAAGAATATTACACTTTTATTAATTTTACATGAAGTTAAATGACACTATAAAATAAAACACAGTATTTTTAGTAAAACATATAATTATAGTACGTTACTAGTGAGCTGTTGCCAGGTAGTTACTGTAATTTCTCCAAGAAGTTGTTTACAGTGTATTTATTTAAAAAAAATATCAAAAATGTAAAAGATGTGCATTGTAGTTGACACCTAGATGAACAGTTTACAGCTTGTTTTTATGACTGTAAGTCATTATTCTCAAATGCTATTGAAGTACCAATAACTTTAGAGACGGTCCCTAAATTTGCGACTATCGAACGTCCAACGTCAAGCCAACTGTATGCCAGTTTCTAAACGCTCGTTTTTTGGGTCGACAGCTTATAAAAACGTAGTTGTGGGGTTTAGCTTATTTACTGTACACCATGTCACATAGCAGCTTTTAGGCAGTGCTCTGTTTTTTTTGTTACAAGTCAGAAATGACAAGGAGGCAGCTTCCTGCAATAGAGAGTCAATGGAGAGCGTTGGATAATTGCCCCCCCCCCCCGTATGGGCGTGGCCTAAATGCGCTCTGTCTCTATAGGGGATTCAGAAAGTGTCAGACTCCAAGCCTTTATTTACCGATCAGCAAAGTTTTCGCTAGGTCACCGATTTCGGCACAACACCGGAAATACTTTAAGATCGATCGACGGATCATCGGTTTTTCGTTCAACTAAAGAATCAAACAAAAACACTCGCAGAGACCAAAGACGCAGGAGTCGCTGTTTGTGGTGATTTCTTCAGACAGGTGAGCTCAGAGTCTATTCTGAGTTTGCTTTATAAGCTTTTAGACTCTTATTCTGGATGTAGGTAATTGCTGAATTCAGCAAAGCGAAAAGTAAGCACAGAATACCTGCTTAATGTATTAGAATATAGAAAATGAAAGTGGTCTGATTTCTAAATGTATTCTAAATGTTTGTGAGTTTGTCTTCAGTACTTGCATGTTACTCTTCGTTAATAAAACGAATATTCAGAGCTGCATTTCCACGCAGAGCTGTTTGTGTACTAGTGATCTTTAGGAGTTTTCCAGAGGAATAACAGTGATAGGATAGAGAAACAGCCCGCTTCCTACACATTAAAGCAAACTAATGCTAATGCACTACAAGTTTAAGCGTTAAGTTAAATAGACTTTATATAAACGATTGCATTACAATAACAAATTATTAGGAGATCAACTCCTACTGGAACGTTATGAGCATAGTTTTTCAGATCTCATACAACCACATTCCTAAACCCCTAAAGAATATTCAGTACTTGTACAGTATGACTTCATTAAACATTTTCCACACAGTGCGTGTTTGTGTTCGAAAAGATTACTTTTTATATAAATGCAATCACCGTTAATAAATAGTGGATTTATTATGTTGGATTTTTCACTCAACATTTTTAAACTTTCATTATGAGTTTCCATGCATTGATTTTATTCATTTGTGAAATCGGTATGCAAAGAGTTAAATCATGCTAAATATTTTAGACAACTTTGTCATCTAAACAGTCTAATCATTCAAAAACACGGAAATGAACAAGTTACGGTAAGTCACTCCATACAGAAAAACCTGTTTCTTAAGTATGTAGACAATCAGGAAGGTACAGTAAATAAACTCGACTGTCAAGCTGCAGTGTGTATCATGTCTGTGTTCATACAGTGAAATGGCAGAAGCCAGTATCTCATGGGCTGAGGATCAGTTCAGCTGTCCAGTGTGTCTGGGTCTGCTGAAGGAGCCAGTGACGATCCCCTGTGGACACAGTTACTGTAAGGGATGCATCTCAGGTTCCTGGAACGAGGAGGTTTGGAAGGGAATCTACAGATGTCCTCAGTGCAGACAGACCTTCAGTCCAAGACCAGTTTTAGGGAAGAATGTGGTGATTGCTGAAATGGTGGAGAAACTCAGAAAGACGAGACTCCAAGCTGCTGCTCCTGCAGTTCATCACGCTGGATCTGGAGATGTTCAGTGCAACGCCTGCACTGGGGTTAAACAGAAAGCAGCGAAATCGTGTCTGGAGTGCCGAAGCTCTTACTGTCAAGATCACCTTGAACAGCATGAGAATCTCTTCAGAGGTAAAAGACACAATCTGATGGACGCCACTGGACGACTGCAGGAGATGATCTGCCCTCAACATGATAAAATGCTGGATATTTACTGCCGCACTGACCAGCAGTGTATCTGTATGCTGTGTTTGGTGGATGAACACAAAAACCATGACACTGTATCAACTGCATCAGAATGGAAAGAAAAACAGGTACTGCTCTATACGGGATCTTATGACGGTTAATGTTGTTTCTCTCCTCATATTTTGTTATGTTTAGGAAAAATTGAGTTGCAGTACTGAACTCATGCAGGCATTAGATAATTCACTCTAAAATATAATATACACTGCATTTGTTTGGGATTTTTTTTTTTTGAAAGAAACTTTTTCAGCATGGACACATTAAATCGATCAAAAGTGACAGTAAAGATATTCATAATGTTACAAAAGACTGTTCTTTTGAACTTTCTATTCATCAACGAATCTTGAAAAATAAAATGTAATAAGTTGCTGAAGAAATATTGTGCAGCACAACTGTTCTCAACATTGATAATAATCAGAAATGTTCTTGAGCAGCAAATCAGCATATTAGAATGATTTCTGAAGATCATGTGACACTGAAGACTGGAGTAATGATGCTGAACATTCAATACTACACGATATTACAGTATTACAGTTATTTATTTAGTTTTTGCCTGGGTTAGCATCTTTTCATAAACATTTATTCATTTAAACACATTTCTGTTTTCTGTAGAGTCATTTGGAGGAGAACCAGAGAAAAATCCAGAAGGTAATCCAGAAGAAAGAGAACGATCTTAAGAAGCTGAGAGAGGCTGTGGCGTCTCATAAGGTGAGTTTAGTGAAAAAAAGAGAAATTTGAGTCTCAGTTTGAGACTCTCCTCCAGTGCTGGAGCTCTTTTAGTGGCACTGTTGCTGTTTGAGGTAGTGCTAGTGAATGAACCGACTGTAATGCGTGTCCTATAACAGCGCTCTGCACAGACAGCAGTGGAGGACAGCGAGAGGATCTTCACTGAACTCATACGCTCTATTGAGAAACGTCGCTCTGAGGTGAAACAGCTGATCAGAGATCAGGAAAGAGCTGCAGTGAGTCGAGCTGAAGAACGACTGGAGCGACTGAAGCAGGAGATTGATGATCTGAAGAGGAAAGAGGCTGCGCTGGAGCAGCTTTCAGAGACAGAGGACCATATTCATTTCCTCAAGGTGTTTACATTTATTCATTAAGAAGTCATTGATTTAGCAGGTGTAACAGAGACGTTTTTGTTTTTGTCTGTGTCTGTAGAGTTGGCCATCTGGCTCTCTCTCTGGATCTACAGATGGCTTCACTTTCAGTTCTCAGCCCTCTTTTGATGATGTAGTGAAATCAGTCTCTCAGCTCAGAGACAAACTGCAGCAGTTCTGCATAGATGACATAGAAAATATGTCAAAGATAGGTAAATACGGATTTATTTTCAGAAAAGAGTTTATTAAATATAAAATAGTTGTAGTTTCATTTTAATGTGACTGAAGAGCTAAATTGCAGATGTGTTTTGTAGTGAAAACCGTCCATGTCATCCAGACTCCCAAATCTCAGACCAGAGAGGGGTTCAAAGAATGTGAGTTGCTCTAAAAAAACACAAATCTAAAATCCAGTCTAGTGGGGTTTATTATTTTTTTCACTGAATTAATTGTGTAATTCAGTTCAAGACAATATTTTTTTTCCTTTTGTATTTAAAATGCATTGGGCTGCAACAAATAAGTGATAATAATCATAATTATCATCATGGATTAGTTGCATCTCCATTAGTGATGGATCCATTAGTCACTTTACAGTACAAACTTCTTATTGCAATAATAATCTTAACTAAAACAATTTGTTTTGATAAATTATATGTGGACTGACAATAAATTTAGGTTTACATTTTGCATTAACCATTTTTTGACTATAATGATGTTATTTTATCATGAACACGTAACTGTAAAGGGTTTAGCCTTTAGTATTCAAGAAAAAATAACATTAGATACATTTACATGAACACCTTTTGTGTCAATCGGAGTGAGATTGTTGAATCCAAACATAGTGTTTACATAATGCTAAATAATGTGATCAGGGTGATCTGTGTGTTTATGTCACAAGCTTCCAATCAAACTTTATCTATTGACATGCACACATTGCATGTATATTCAGAGTTTCCCTGGTGGTTTAAGACACATATACTAGACATTCTACTGCCTCTTGTCTTTGTTTTAAAAAGCAGACTTAATATCGATCTATTTTGGGTTATAATCAGGAGATGACGAGCACACAAAGCATGTATTTGGCCGTTGGTCCTCTGAAAAATTAAAATTATAAAATTATAATAGACCCAGCTAATGTGTTATAATAATGATAGAATGTCATGAATAATTATGTGTTTGTCTCCATCAGATTCTCATCCAGTGGGCACGCAGGCTCGCCCCAGACTAAAGCCAGAGTTTCGGGGATCCACAACCGATTTAACTCGAATTCACTCGATTTCGAAACAGCGTGACTGTTGAATCGCGCCACACGGACCGTTTATCCGCTCAGAACAAAGTTCAAACTGCCGCGCAGCGTGAGCTCACTAGAGCAGATGCGTTTACTTGGTCACGCAAGCATTAAGGGGGTCATATGATGTTGCTAAAAATAACATTATTTTGTGTATTTGGTGTAATGAAATGTGTTTATGCGGT